AGGTGAACAGAACTAGCCAACCAGCGCGTGGGAAAAGCAGTTTTCTCCTGTGTGGCATTTAGTAATAGAAGTTATAAGTTAATTCAAAACTGTTTATTCAGACAGCAATCACCCCGGCATCAAATTTTAGTTAGGCTGCCTCAATACAGTCACAAATACTCGCATATCATCGCCCAAAATTTTTGATCAATTATATCATCTTTTACCAACTAGATACATATCTAGTTAGTTCTCTCTTACAGATGAGCGGCGTCGTTGCGGAATTATAACAGGTCAGCATAAATTTGAGTTAACATGTAATGTCATTCACTTCAGGGTTACTAAAAGTCTCCTGACTGGACACTTTTTTTTTTTAACACAAGTAATCAAACTACAGAAACTGTCAGTGGATGGGAGCTACCGATCAAACGATTATACCGCAAAAATGAAAACCTTGTATCTGTCAACTGTTTCTGCGCTGGCCGTTGTTCTTCTTTCTATGGAATATCTGTATAATAGCAATGCAGTTGCGACCCACGGTAAGAAGACTCTGTTTCAAAAAAATAGAGCCCTAATTTCTTTACAGCTTTTTAAAAAATAGTTAGATCATCTCTTCTTTGATTGATTATCCGCAAAAATTTTCAGAAGGTCTAACATTCCGTGTTGTAAGAACCATTCACAACACTGAACTGGTACAATTATTGGAAAAAACACTCAATACAAGAAAATAGCCACTCACAAATTCTCCAAAAAAATAATATCGTGCCATTGCCGAGAGAGCAATATCAAAAAATTGTGAGGAAAAGACAAGCAAAGAAAAAGATAAGATTCTCACATTGATACGATAGCTCCCTCGTATACACCAGAAATCTGTACGAATTAGAGGCATGAAGCTTAGGCTTCTCTTGGACTCCAAAACAGAAAAGGCCTTGGGATTAATTTCGTTTATTTAATAATTTAGAATGTACGACACGGAAAAGAATGTATAACTCGAGACAGATGTACTTATTTGTCAAAAAGTAATACAATTTTTGTTTTCATGCTTTTCAGAAGTTTGTGGAAGACACGTAAAATACACCGCTGCCGTTAAGGGAAATGCTCTTCATGGACACGTGATCAAAAACCTTACGCTTCCAGTCATTATACCAGACCCCTGCAGAACTCAGTGTGTTATGGACAGTCGTTGTGTCTCTATCAATACTGGCCCACACTTCAACGATCACGTGATATGTGAACTAAGTGATTCGGATGAAGCTGAACACCCCCGGGATCTTAGGCCTCGGAGAGGTTTTATCTACATTGGTACTGAGGTAAGAGAATGAAAAACAAAACAAACGAACAAACAAAAGTATACAAATTTTATATTTCTTTCTGCTTGTTTCTTGATATTTTCACTTGATGTAATTGGATTATGAAGAGAAAAAATACATTATTATATGAAATTTTCGCGACACGTTAATTTCGCGAGTTTGAGGCTCGCATATTTCGCGACGCCTTAATTTCGCGATTTTGCGAGAATTTTGCATTTTGACTCACTCTAATTTCGTGTTTTTGAGTGAGTCACACTTTATTCCTTTGTCAATGTTATTTAACATGTCCCTGAATTTGATCAAATTTCATGAACAGTGTCCAAATAAACAGAAACGCAACTGATTTTATGTAAACAGTAACAAGAAAGATGTTCTCACAGTGTCTAAAAGGCACGGTTTGAAGTTCATGCCTGAATTCAAGTCACGTTTTTAGTGGTCAATTGACCTCATTATCCATGTACATTAAATATTCCTTCCTGCAGACTCCAAAGAGAAAATGTTGCCATTTAGTTTCACGACTGATGCTGTTTAATTGCTTGCATAAATGCAAGATTAAGCGTATCTTGCATAAATGCAAGATACGGATTAACAGGCGGTAGTACTTCTTTTCAATTGAAAACATCCTTTATTCCAGCTTTTTCCCACCCTTTCAAAACATAAACCTTTCCTTCGGTACTGGTAAAAAAGTTATACATTTGTACCAACCAAGTGGCATGGATTAGTTTAAGGACCGATAGTCTGAGGTCAAAATCGACATCTTCAAAATTGATTCCACTATCCACTTGTTTCTGGACTTCTACTGAATACCAAGTCGCAAACTTGTTTTTGCAAAACGTCTTGGCTTGTCCGTTGACCGTTAGATCCAAAGGTTGAAAAAATGGGGTCATGTTAGCTGGGACAGAACTGACTTCTATATTCAGCGAAGAGAGCCTCGAGCACACATTCTCCGTTTTCTGACCTCTGAAGACATCCCAGATAAGTAGGGCTTTTTGAGATTGCAGAAGCGCAAGTTCCTTCCGTT